ATGAAACTTGCTAAAAATTAGCATTTAGTGCACTAGTTGAACTCTAAATGAAATTCGACATTGCTTGCAGAAAAGTACCGTAAAATGGGGTTACTTTGACCGGCAGGGTAACTTTGACCACTTTTCGTTTTTTTAACAAAAACCCCCAAAACTCAAAAACGATTTGACATAGAAAAATTTTATCAATGGCTATCAAAGGCCTAATACTGAGGCTACACAACACAATAGAAAGATTTAAAAAGTTTGCATATCTAATAGGTTAAAAAATTAATAATGTGACCCACGAAAAAGAGCTATTATTTAAAGCCTGTCAGAGTACCCCCTCTAATTTTTTTATTTTTTGGTAAAATAACTCCAGGTTTTGATGCATTGTAGTAGAACTCTTCTAGTTACATATGCAAAAGACAAATTTTAGGAAAGTGTCATAGTTTGCAAATGGGGGGTGCCACCCCCCAATGGGGGAACTTTGACCACCTAATGGCAGCCGTGACGGGGTAACATGGACCGGCTTGGAAATTAAGTTAGAATTACCATAGGTACCTATAAAAGATATTTTATGTTTGATACACCTATTAATGTTTTTTCTTTATATTTCAGACTCTACAGAGTCTTATATATGGTAATTTTAACTTAATTTCCAAACCGTGTTTCAGACTCTACAGAGTCTTATATATGGTAATTTTAACTTAATTTCCAAACCGGTCAATGTTACCCCATCACGGCTGCCATTAGGTGGTCACGTTTTGCCCATTGGGGGGGCGGCGCCCCCCATTTGCAAACTATGACACTTTCCTAAAATTTGTCTTTTGCATATGTAACTAGAAGAGTTTTACTACAATGCACCACAACCTGGAGTTATTTGGAGTTATTTTACCAAAAAATAAAATTGAATTTACCACCCAGTTAAAGAAACCCCAACAGCTGGGGTAACAAAGACCATCACTTTTTTTGAAATTACATCAAAACTATGAGAGGCAGGAGCCAGCAATTTATGGTGAGTAAAGCTAGAGTATAGACCTGTATTTTGCATGTTTCAATTTAAGTTTAACTTATCTAGTAAAAAAATGGCATCATTTTGAAAAAAAAAGTGGTCAAAGTTACCCCATTTAACGGTATTGTTGATAAATAGCTTTGTTCTTGGCTTGGTCACAATTGATTCTAATAACTTATGCTAATTAGACATGCTATTAAAATATGTTCCATAAATTCATCTCAGAAATGTTGTGAAACTGGTCAAAAAAGCGCATGTGTGACAATTAGCATGGTACTGTGTAGTACCAATCCAATCTTGGTGCCACTTGGGCTCAATTTTTTCCTCAATTTGTAACCTATGTTTTATGCTTCGATGGTCCACGACTCCAGGAAGATTTGCCTTGTGTCATATGCCATTATTTTCTGTCATGGTTCTGTTGAATCTAATTTTGAATTTGACTAGATTAAAATGAAAACAAAAATGCTGCTAAATCTGCTTCTCTGGGAGAGGCTGGTCCTGGCAGTAGCACGCTAAAGGTCAGAACATGGGGCACTTGTTCTTCAATGTGAAGTGTTGTAACCATCATTACAACCTATATGAACGCCACTACAATGATGAGTGCGCACTAGTAACCTTATTCTTTGGGATGAGACTGGAAGAGATGAGACTTCTGCTCTATATTCCAAATTTGCCATTGGTGAAAATGACAATGTACCACATGTTAATGCTACTCCAGTGCATAAGTTTCCACACTACATACGGTAGCATTCATGTTAAACATGTTACCATCTATTAATAGATACAGCCTATTTTAGAAATCTGAAAGAAAATTTTCCACTCCTATCCTGAATATCATGCCAAGTTTCACACAAATTAGTGGTAAAAGGATTGTTTAGCAGACAGTCTTTAATATTAGGCAAGGATGCAGGACTGTGTGGATTTCTAGAGGGGGTATTAAAATAACCAATACACATAGCATATTAGAAAGGCCATCACACAACCAATCACAGTCTGGAGTGGATGACATCACAATCCTACCAACCAAATGCCAATCACCATATGGAGTGGTTAGCATCACAATCAATCACAGTCTGGAGATGAACATGCATCCACAAAAAAAGGACACTTTATGCACCATCCTAGAATTATAGAATTACACACTTTTGCAGAAAGTTGTCAAATGTCTAATCATCTTGCCAACAATCACCTTGCAAATATTACACCCATTACAATTGATAATTGCTGATCATGGTGGCAAAGTGCAAAAATTCATGCCTACTATTTATTATGAAATGTATATGCCTATCAAAGTAGGCATATACATTTCACAATAAATTTAATAATTTATGAATTGTCAAATGCAAATGAGGTACGTAGCCATTGGAAAAGAACCTGTTTTATGAACAATTATGGGTCTGGGAGGAAGAGTAGACAACCTCACTTGTCACTAGCTTCTATTTCTACAGGAGTTCACTGTGAGTGTTGCGGAACTCTTGCGTTTCACTGCAAGAGTTCCAACTGACACTTGGCTCCAGTCGATCAAGCTTGTACATCTGCTTTGTCTATACTTCATATATACATTATGAGACTTCGATTTCTTATAAAATGATATTTGTGTTCTATCAAATAAGGCTACATTTTCAAAGAGGAGAAAATTATAAATTTTATTATCACTGAGCATCTGTGTCCAAGAGCATATCTTGCCAGAATTTTTATAGTTCTGCAAATTTTGCAGGAGAATATAAAATAATGATGAATAAAATTGTAGTTTGAACAATTAAACTGCCTGTTACTTGCTATGAAAACTCTGCCATGTGAGTATTTCTTCACATTCACCTTTATGGCTGTAATTTTGCTTTTGTGGAGACCTCAGGTCAGACTTTGAATTAGTCAGCCACACAGTTCATATTAATTTATGCAAGAATTGCATTTGGTATACCCCATACCTACTTTGGGGGCTGGAGCTCAAGTATATTCAATTAAAGCATCACATTTCACAAACTCCCTTTGATCCATGTTCAAAAATGAATGTGAATCCTACAATAGCAAGGAAGTATATACATTTATTATGGCTAATATGTATTTAGTTCTTCATTTTTCTTTTCAAAATATCAAGAGTCAGCCTGCACACTCTAAATAGTTCTTTGCACTCTGTCACCACCACAATTGCTCCCTCTGATGTAGCACACTCGGTGCCATCCACTCCTCACCTGTCTTCTCACACCTCTGTCATCACTCTCACTTGTGAAATGATAATTTCATTAACATGACAAAATATTTTAGGCGGTTACTTGGATTCAATGCTGAAAATAAATATTTCTAAGAATAGATGAGTAAATCTTTATGGTGTTTTGTTCAATGGAATATAATTGTATGTACTTTATAGCTTCACCTGCTAATTTAACAGATCTTCAATTCTTTCCCAATGACAATGACATGGTTGATAGTCCCAAATTAGCCCAATAATTGCAATATTTAGAATGGACTCTGTTCCTTATGTAACTTGAATTAAGGTGGGTTGTTATGGGTATGCTATGCTCAACCTTCCATTAAATCCTAGTGTAAGAGTGATGCTGGATTGATTTTAAATGGCAGCTCAAGTGCACCCATAAAAACAATTAAATAATTAATTTGTAATATATATTGTTCAAGGTGATAGATTAATCTAGTTATGATTAGCATGAGAATCTGAGCCTTAATATTTTTTTCATTCAAAATTTAAAATTGAGCTAATGGCTCATCAGCTGAATTTTTGTGGCATGTTCTGCTAGATCACCTTTGAATTGTCTCCACTACCTTCTTGTAAATTTTGCAGCAACACCAAGACACAGTATCTCTAGTGAGATCTGACAAATTTTATCTCGTTATAAAGTTTAATCTGCTCAATTAATTTGATGAATGTAAAGTTTTTGATTCTTGACAATAATTCTGTATGAAATTGCAAAAAAATATACTGAATCATTGAGAGTAGAGACCTCGTTTCACTTAGTTGAGGTTTTATCAGGTGGTCATCAATGTAATATCTTGTACATTGATGAAACTCATTTTTGTTGAAAGATAAAGAAATTTCTACTTGCACAGAATTCACACTACTTTACATTTGGTTCAAAATATAGTTTTTTCCTAAATTATCATCAGCACTGTCATGATTAGCCTTGAATAGTTTGGAATTATCATAAGGATCATATTTCAAGTGCCATTCTAACTTGGGTTTTCTATGATCTTTTCAAACAAAAGTTTAATTTTAAAATATCTCTATAATGGGCATCAGTTGAAACAATTTTGGCAAAAGCCTTTATGTTTTCTTATAATAAGTGCTGTAATGTAATCCCTGAGTTATTGTAGTTGATTGTACACTATGTACACTGTGAAACGGAGTCACCTTCATTCTAACATGCTTGCATTTTTTTTATTAAAAACCCCAATAGGTGCATATATATTGAACCACACTTTAGTGGTTCCATATATATTGGAACATTGAAAGATCGTTTGAGACTAACCTTCACTAGTGTTGAGGTCGGGACTAACTTTTCCTGCCAGTATAATATTGGAACTGATATGTCTATCCATTAGTCTTTGATTCACATATTACAAGAAGCCAAAACTTGTGCTGTGTCCTTGCCCCTTGGATCACAATACCAAGGCAGTTCATATGGCTCTGATATTTTACTGATCTATACCTGCAGCCATGTTACTGGCACAATAGTGTGTGTGATCAAAGTGTCCTACTTGCATTTATCCTGCAACTAAATCCTTCCAAGGGGCAGAGAAGAAATGGACTGAAGATTGATGTTATTCTATTAAGATTATAGGTTTTAAACACTGAAATTTTATCAGAAAAGTGTAGTTATAACTAATTAATTTAGCAGAATCCAAACGAATTAAGAACACAAGCATTAGAGATGATTTTATTTAGCAAAATGAGGGAATGATTTGTAAGTAAGTAAAAAATAACTTCTGCAGGCACACACTGTACTTCATATCCAGACTATTTTATTGTTTTCATTTGTTATTTTCTTCAACAGATTGCGATACCTTGAAACGTTTCATTCATTCGTTCAGATTTGGTTTGGATTGTTAATTTAAATTGTTAAAATGCAGGCTAGGTCGCCATTAGAGATGTTGCCTAGACCGCAACACATCAGAGAAGATGGCTCCTCTTCAAACTCTGTGCTCTTTGCTTACTGCTACATTTGCCAACGAGTGACGAGTGAGCCGCTTGTGAAGAACCCAACCAATCACCGCAAAGTTCTCGGATTCATATCCGAACGAGCTGCATTTGGTGATCCCATTTATTTGAAAATTGAAGAAAAGCTGCAGGGTTTGAATGCTAAAACACTTGCATCATGTAGTGCTTCGTTCCATGGTAGCTGTTACCGCAAAACCATCCATGCAGGTAACTACAAGAAAATAAAAGAGCAGTACTACAAGATTAATCCCAGGAAACGTCCTGCTCCCGTCAAGAAACAACCTGCCAAAGTCAAAGAGTCTTCTTTCTGTTTGTTTTGCCACAGAAAGCACAACTCGAAGAAGAATGCTTTGATTGTTGGAAAGCTGGCATCCAAAGATTTTGGTTGTTTGCAATCTTTTGTTAAGACCCAAGCAGTCTCTCTTGAAGTTCGCAAATTATTCTTGATCTGCTCGAATGCAATGAAACCTGTGCAAGTGGTAAGCCACGAAGTATGCTGGAAAAAGTTTATAGTGAGGCATGTTGGAAACTTGCATCTAAAGCCTTTGACTCCAGAAGACATTGCCAATGATGAATTTTTGTTCTATATCAAAGAAAAACTTACTCTGTCAGAAAGCATCTCTCTCCCGGTCTTACATCGAACATATGAATGGTTCCGCAGGAAGCACAGCTTACCTCTCACATCTGTCACTCGCCGCTCTCTCAAAAATTTGATCTTGAGTGAATTAGGTGACAGTGTTGTTATCAACAAGAGAACAAAACGCACCTGCGAGTCCCTGAGATTTGCACGGAGAGCCAAAGAAAGCTCAATCAAGAAGTCTATCAGAGAAATTGCTCTCTTGGATGATGCATTGAATACTACCAGCATTCTGGACAGACTGAGGTCCAGGTGAGCTCTATTGGTAACTTGCAAGCCTTACTTCCCATTAATTAATTCTTAATCTATAAGTGTGGGACAATTTGTTTTCACTATTTCCTTTTAAATCAAAATCGTTAAATTTCTTATAAATATCTTATATTTTTTATAATATATAAGTATTTTCCCTTGATTCATTTGTTCATGAGTAAAAAAAAATTAATTTTTTATTTCAGGAAATCTTGCATCGAAGAAGCCCCGCAGTCTTGCGATGGTGTGGTCAACAAGTTTCCGGATGAATTGCTACTGAAGATATTCCGTAATTTGACTACAGAGGAGCTAGGCAGAAGTGTGGTTCCTGTTTGTTCAAGGTGGAGGAATGTTGGTCGAGATCCAATCCTTTGGAAAGATATAATCCTCAAACGAGATGAGCCAGAGCGCAGGAAAAGCTTCGTGTCTCTCCTTCGCTCTTGCCGTGAACTACGCTCGCTCAAGATACCCGAAAGCAGCAACGTCCATCCTCCTGACATCTCCGAGATAATTCAAGCGGTTTCATCGCACTGCCCGCGCCTTGTTGAACTTAGGTGCCCACACCGACCTGCTGTGCCTCAAACAATTCTTCAACAGCTTGCCAACAATTGTCTTGACCTCGAGATTGTTGATTTTTCTCAATTCATCTCCACTGACTTGCTCATCGATCCAGACTTCCTGTTGCCGCTTGTAAAGCTCAAGAAGCTCAACCGTATTCAAGTCGGCCATTCTCGCTTCTTTTTTGGCGACAATTTCTTACGCGAGCTCGCCAACAGTAGTCAGTCACGTACCATCGAGCACATTGATGTCGCTGGGTTCCTCTTCAGTGACGACACTTACCGCTACTTCATCAGGAGGGTCTCAAGTAAACTCAAATCGCTCGCCATCTCTCCCAGCATTCTGACCAAGGGCTTCGGTTTCATCGTTCAATGTATTGGCTTGCATGAATTGCACCTCAAAGTTGGCTATCACGCCACTTCATGTGAAAATCAATTGTCCACCCTGCGTAATCTTATCAACTTGAAAACTTTGCGCCTAGAATTTGTTGATTTGAGCCACAATGCTGAACTTGTGCAACTCTTTCGGGAGCCCACATTTGCCAAACTTGAGGTCTTTGAACTGATAAGCTATCATGACAACGTGTCGGATTACTTCTTGAACCTGTTGAGTTTCACGATGCCATACCTGAAGGAATTGACTCTTCGATCGTTGGTGCAAGTGACGGACGAGGGCTTGAGTCGCCTGATGCAGCGCTGCCAAAACCTCACCAAACTCACCTTGATTGACATGGACGGCGTACGGGGCAGGGCTTTCGAGCAGCACGCGCGCGACCTGCCTAACCTGCGCACGCTCCGTATCGTGCGATGTCCTCGAATTACATCAATGCTTGTCAACGAATTCCGTGTGAGAAAATTCACAAAAAATATCAACATTATCTGGGAATCTTGCTGAAAGTTGTGTGTGAAGCACATGGTGATGATCAATATTCATTATTGCCCTCAGATAAGTTTGTGTGAACATACTCCTGTACATTCATTGATCGATTATAGGTGTTCATTTGTAACGTTTAACATTTTAATATAATATTTTATTTCTCTTTTATATATAGTGATGTTATTGGATGGATTCTGCAGCACTTCATGTCAAGTGCCCTACATATATTTGATTTTTTCAGTTCACTTAGACAGAATCTGCCTTATAGTTATCCTTGAAAACTTACTGACCTCAACAATGTCAGTAGTGTCAAAGTGATTTATTCGGCTACAGATTTTGCTGGAAATTTGTACACATATGACATTGCAGAGTTTCTGCCACTGATCCTGGTACTACTTCATACTATTGGTTAAAAAGCTGGAAATGTTTTCTCGAGTCTATGAGATGAGTCTGATGACATAGTTTTTGATGTTTTTTATGCTTGATGCAAATCCATTCATTTGCTATCTTAAGTAACTATCAATTACTCGCGTATTCCCGATTGCCAGTGGCTCGACGCCATCCCACTGCTGTGTAGATAAGCGACCGCAAGTTAAGAGCACCCTCAGCGTTTGTAGGGAGATACTTCAGAGGAAATTATCTGACGTTTTGACTCTTAATTTAATATGTAGTACTCATGGAACTTGAAATCTCATGATTTTGGCTACCAAAATTTTTGCCCTCGTTTTTTGTGTACATTGTTTTCAGGTGTTTTGTTCAAGCAAGTGTTTTGAATTATTATTAGTGTAAACACTAATAATAATTTTGGCTACCAAAATTGTTGCCCTCGTTTTTTGTGTGCCTTGTTTTCAGGTTTTGTTTTGTTCAAGCAAGTGTTTTGAATTATTATTAGTGTAAACACTAATAATAAATCTCTGAGTTGCGCTATGTCAACGAGTACTCACACCGGAATTTGATATTCATTTTCAGGTGGAAATATGACTCGATATCGCGTCAATTTTGTGGGGAATGTGAGATTTTCTATAGAAAGTACTGGCACTGGCGACTGTATCTTAGTATTGCAACTCTCTAGAACTTGTGTAGTCCGATATGCTCCCCACTTATCCTCCTTGATGCATATATCTTGGAAACTATTTCACTTTTCCGAGAATCTCGCAGTTTTCTTTCTTTGGCTCTAAACCTGAGATTCGTGGAACGTTACATCTATGTTCTCGCAGCGATAATTAAGGCATCGTTGACGTATTCGTGTCAAGGGATTAAAGCCCGTAATTAGGTGGATAAACCACACTTTTTCGTTAGCCTTCGGACTGTTTGTTCCGAACTTCCGATGCCATCTTGTGAGGTTGTAAGCTATGTTAATTTAAGTAAAATATATATTTTAAGGATATTAGTACTTGTGTGGCTTTTTGAGTTGCTCGTGCATATTTACTTGAGAAGTTATTGGTCGCGAGTCATCATTAGTACAATCGTCCATCACAGCTTTCTACACGAATTGAGTCACTAATGGCATAATGAACGTATTTAAAATGTCTTGATGGTTAATGCCGCAGCAAGAGTTCCTTATATTTTTCCCTTCACTGAGAGATTAAATTGAAAACTATTAACGTAATTGTAGGCGCTACCATCATCACCGCCCACATTCTGATCAACGTTTTTTTTATTTGCATTGAATATATTTGCGTATTGCCTTGCCGTTAGGTTATTGTCAATAAACTCCTCTTGCACTTACCACCTTGTCTAGTGAAGAGCATGACTACCCAAACTGCTGTTCTACTAAGCAAGTTAACGTCTTGAGAATAAAAGCCAACATGTATGTCTCTTCATTTTATTTCCCCGAGGTTATCGTGCGTAATTATAAATTATTTTCCATTTTTTTCTTCCTATAAAATATCGCCTGGAACAAAATACTCGTAGCTCGAACTCACCAAAGCCTTCGCTTTGCAACTAATTATTAAATGTAACGTTCAAGTGTTTAGTTTGCTTCCTCATTTTCCTGCGGTTATTCACATTCTCTTATCGTTTGAGTTTTGACTGTAGGAGTTAAGCTAATGCTTTAAGGGTAATGAATTTATCGGTAGATTAGTTGAAGTTGGTTCACACTATCAAGATTATAAAAGACTTGATGGGCACCATTTGTTCAAGCTTGTAAATTGTCGCTTGTATACAAATAATCTCTCCGCTTAAATTATAAAGAAATCTTCGACAAGAAATAACCTAAATTTATCCGTAAGTGTCGTGCCCCTTGTATTTGAAAAGCTTCTAGTGGTAGACGTCAATTACTCCATTCAACGAAAAAAACATACATTCAACTGCTGAGAATGTAATTAGAAATATGAAGACATATAGTAATCTCTCGATGTACAAAGTAAATTCGTTGAAAGCGATGACTTACTCGACGTCAAGAATAAAAAAAAAATCGAATGATTTTGAGAGGCGCCATGACCGTCAGGAAGAGGGGCTAGATTCGCGCAACCTATGGTTGAACTAATATTAGTTAGGTTGTATTAGTTCAACTAATTAGGTTGTATTAGTTCAACTAATTAGGTTGTATTAGTTCAACCATGCGCACATCCGATCACGTTTGCCGAACTCCTTTCGATATTCGGATACGCGATTTTGTCGGGACCAAATTAACGTCGAAACTTTACTGTCGAAGAGCGCAACCCTGGGACACAAACTTAACTCCTGACCAAGCCCTAGCCATCGCCCAGTCCCAACATGCAATAACTACACTCAGCCTCGCAGCCAAAAGCCGCCAGGGCCAGAAAATCAACTCTTGACCAAGCCCTAGCCATCGCACAATCCCAACATGCAATAACTACACTCAGCCTCACAGCTAAAAGCCGCAGACAACACTGAAGCACCGTAATCCAGACCAGTGACACACTGCCCAAAGTTGATAATGTCTTCAGCCAATTCGTAAGCATGGGCGATCATGAGAGGCAGTTCTGGATACGGCCTAGCCTCGGATGGCCCAACCTCTTCACGCTGCTCCGACTCGCATTTTTCCAGTAGCCAATGGCTATAAAAGTCCTAATCCAGCTATGATTTGTTGTGTGGACATCTGGCAAATGAATCCCCGTCAAAGGATTTTCCACCCAAACGATTTCTAGAGTTGGTACAAAGCCATTGAAAATTGCAAAAAATCGTAAATTTCAGTGTAATTTTGACTTTGATGTTTCGAAAGTTAACTTGATTTACGGACGTGATACTTATGAATTTAATATTTATTACTGAATTATAAATCAGTAAAAAATATAACACAACTCGATTGATGTTAAGAGGTTCTTCAAGCCTCATACGCAAGTTGATCGACGCGCCATCCCCGGCTCCACCTTACATCATAGGTTGACCAGAGAATTTCACTGTAGAGTGTGGGTCTATAGGTTACTTTATAGGACTTTTATTATTATCTTGAACCTTTACTTAGTTCATTTGATTTCATCTTTATTTTATTCAAAAACTGTCAAGAAGTATTTCCTTCCAACAAGAGATAATATTTCTATTCGATTATGAAAGTAAAACATAAAACGGTTGGTTTTTAGGACGTCTAAGAGGATGACAGCTCATGATGTTGAGAGATAATTGCTCGTTGAAACCTTGCAGCATTAATGGCAGAATGTCACCGACATGGCAAGGGGTTTTAAAGACGTGTTGTTTGAGTGAGCAAATGGAAGAAAATTGTTATAGTTCAATACTGACGTCTTAAGCTCAGAATTTAAAATCAATTGTCAGAATTACATTAATCCTCTGTGCGGTTGAACGGGATGCAGTGAAGAAAGAGTGCAAAATATTACTTAAACAAATTAGAAACAAAGAGCAGAAAAAAGTGACAGTATTCACTCAACAATGTGATGAAAAAAATCTAACTTATCCTCTTGTACACGCTGCTATAATTGCATCAGGTTCAAGAATTTACCGGCAGTGGAGCGATTAGAAAATACCACCATCGGAACAAGGCTCTCTAACGATAAACAATCAATTATTAACAATTATAAAACGGGATCTAAGGCGTCGCGCGGTCTGAAGCAGTCTCGGGTTCGCATCGTGCATCGGTCGAATGGTTCTTCCAGCGGAGTAGTAAAGGTAAGTTAAAAGATAGTAATAGTAGAAAGTAATAGTAATATAGAAAAATAGAAAGTCAATAGTAAGTCTATATCCACTTAACCCTTTACGCCCTGAATTTCTGGGATGAAAATCGTAAAATTCACTTTTTCGGTTTTAAGTCTCACTTCAAAGCTGACATTCTGTAGAAATTGGACATTGCCATTGGAAATTGGAAATTTTATTTCGGTTACTTACCGACAGATAACTTTGAAACTTGGTACACATATGTAAAAAATAAATCTAACACTTTTTTTATTCTTGTGAATTTTTCGAAAAAATGACAGAAAACGTGAAATTGTTGGAAAACCGATGTTTTTTTCTGTGTGACGAATTCGTCACGCCAGGGCGTAAAGGGCTAAATTTAATTCATTGTAATAAGATACTCATGTAAAGTAACTGGCACGATAAAACATATATAATAAAATCCGGTCATGCATCAACGCGATGGGACTTGTTTAGGGAGCTGTCATTCGATGAGAATTGTAGGAATTTCAATTAATATCTAATTTTATACATAAATTGCTGCCTTGTATTTCATTCTTAGTTTTTATCTAATAATATCACTAAGGATGCGTTTAAAACAATACAGTAATTCGAATGTAAAGTTATCTCATAGCTATGCTGAAAAATTTCGCAGTTTATTTCTTATACGAACTATCTAACTAGCATTATATTTCTGAAATCATTCGTCTGTCTGTGGAAATCGTTATCATGATGTTTTTCGATGAAATTATTCATCACAAGATGCCTTTTTTATCCGTCGTCAGTGCCGTGAGACGCATTCATTGTAGGCGCTTTATTCAGTCACAGTCTAGTTCATGATATTTTCAAGGTGCGTATCGACAGTTCTTCATCGACTGAAATTTGACCCTTATCTTTAATTTGCATGACTCTTGATTAAAGGTAATATAGAAAAAAATTGTTCCAATGATAGCAGCTTCTCGTTTCTGCTACAGAACCGCTTATGAAATTGCCCTAATGGCAGCAAGAAACATCAAAGGTTAAGTGATAATTATATAATTATTGTCATCTATCATCGCATTGTTTTCTTAAAATGATCACGTACTTGAACTTCGAGCTTCTAGCCTATGAATTATATTTTCAATAATAAGTTGTAAATGATTTACTGTCTGCAATCAGTTTCCCTCAATGGCTTGGCGCCATTATCATAATAGAATTTAGCTCTTGAACTACTGATATCAGGATTAGTGTAACAGACGTATATTTATATTGACTCAAACTTGTTTTGCATTTTCACGCTCAATCAACACGTTTTTTAAACCCCTTGGCATTTTGGCCGCACTCTGCAACTATTTTTGTAAGGTTCAACGAGCAGGTAACTCCCATCAGCGTGAACTGTCATCATCATGAACGAGATAAAAATCGTCCGTTTTAGGTTTTAGTCGCAATATCGAGTGAGAATGTCATCTCTAAGTGAAATGAAATAGTAATTGATTGACGCGGACTACATGTAAAATGAAGATGAAATACAGCTAAATAACATTCCAAGGTGATAATCTTGGTCCTATACAGTTTCCTAACGAGTCCTATAAAATATCCTAACGGCACACAGAGACACAAGCGACTGCAAAATACTTCCAACAACCTAGGGGGGGGGAGTGGTGGGCAGTGACTCGGGCGTCTGCTTGATAACCACTTAGCATCAAGCGATTTGTGCCATATTTTGTTTACGGATTTACCTTTGAATTATTGAATGTTTATTTAATGTTCAATGTTCTAGCAACGAAAAAACATTAATGTTCTGGCAACGAAACTACCTCAATGTGCTGGTAACGAAACAACATTAATGTTCTAGAAATGAAGTAATGTCAATGTTCTAGCAAAGAAACATCTATGTTCGAGAACAAAAGTAATGAATAAGTTCGAAAAATAAGTATTTCAAGAATCAAAATGACTTAAACTTTCTGCAAACGAAGCAACATCTAAAGTTTAGAATCGAAGCTGCAGCCATTTTCTAGAAGAAAATCAGTATCCATGTTCTAGAATCGAAATGACACCCAATTGCATGAATCGATGAATCATTCATGTACTAGAAACAAATTACATTCATGTTCTAAAAACAAAGCTACGTTCTAGAAACTGAACAAAAGCATCATTAAATGGTGGCTACAGTCATGTTCTATTAATAAAGTAAAAGCCATCTCCTAGAAACATAGCAACCTCCAAATTCTAGGAACGACGCAATAACTGTGTAATTTATTTGAAGGAAAATAAAAGCTGTCTTAATTAAAAAGTTTCAATTAAATTCTACAAACAAAGGCATATCAAAAATAACACCGTAGCGATTCTATAGCAACAAAGCGACAGCCGTTTTCTAGAAAAGACGCAACCCTACAGTAGAATCGAAGCAGCTTCATCGTTCTATAATTGAAGCAGCATCCATGCTCTAGGGTTGGGGCCTAAGTCATTAGCTAGGCACGAAACTGAGGGGACCAAAAATGAAGCCACAGTCATGTTAAGGAATGACAGCCATATTCTAGAAGCGAGGCAACAGTCACGTTTCAACATGAAACATAGACGTATAAAAGAGCACCCGGATAACATTAAACTAAGTTGGCATTATAATAAATTGATGACAATTCACGAAGAAGACAGGCACAAATATAAGTATTGAAACTAGCGCGTTTTTAACAGGGACTTTAAATGTTCAATCCTATTATTGTGCAACCTGAACAGAGTGGACAAAT